TTTGTGATATATTATTAATATTCAGGATTTATATAGCGGCAGCAGTTTGCACAGCACTTTACAAAATGAAGGTAGACATTAGTTACAATACAATTTGGTACAAAAGGAATCAGAGGGCCCTGATCATTAGAGCTTACAATCTAAGAGATATATGGTATAGGACTGTCTATACACCTGCCTATTACATTGAATTACTAGATTTAGTTCTATTTCCAAAATCAATCTAGTCTAAGCTATAAACATCAGTCCATTCTTCTGTAAATACAAGAATGTGTCATTGAATATATGGGAAATAGACCAGAATGCCTAAAGACTGGTGCTCTTTGGAGAAACTGTGGACTTCTGTGATCTCATGTGGGTTCATTTATACCTTTCAGTCTTAAAGCTGAATTCCAGGTATGGCAATATTTACAGCTTGGACCAATGCAAGTATGCATACCATAACTGGCCCATATTCCTGGAAGCTGGAAATCATTTCATTAGGCACCACTATTATAGTGATCTCCACTAACTGGGTTCCTTGTTGAGTGGCTGTACTGCTGCTTACTGAACACAGGAGGTCGCCTGTTCAACACAGGCACCATTCAGAGAACATTTTGCATTTTAGCAGTGAATGCAATGGGTTGCAATATCTGATTGGACCCCTCCATACCCTATTGCCGGCATGTGTTCCAAATGCCAGAAATTCGTGATATCACTCTAAGACAGTAGCATGCCGGCTCTAGGGAGTGGAGTGGTGGAGCAGTTCCCTGAATACAAGGCTGTATATACTGGTGTCGGTTATCCAGGCACTTTTAAATGTGAGTAGCCATTGTATATTTGTTTGGTGGATACTTTTTTATTACAATAAATATTGTACTATGATATAATCTTGAGTGATGAGTGTATGAATCCGTGCTGATATAACAGCAGAAAGCAGAAAGCAGACCTTGGAGGGTGACCTTGGTATATAGTGACATCCCACATCAGGATAAAGGGCTTAAAGATCTTCTTAAATTAAGGAGTCATTTCATGTGGTGAGTGTACAAATTAAATTATTCACACATGGTGGCACTAGCATGCAAATGTGTGAAGAGAGAGGTAGAACCACCAATGCATGAACAAAACATTTTTTGGTGCTGGGTCACCTAATTTTGGACTCTATTTTGTTTAGTTGGACTTTTAAATTAATTTATTCAATATGTTTATTATTATTATTACATCAAGTTTATATAGCGCCAAAGGGTTTGCTCAGCGCTGTACAATAGGGGGGACAATACATGGCACAGTACAACAAAAACAGACAGCGTATGAGGGGTAAGAGGGCCCTACTCTTTCAAGCTTACAATCTAGGAGGGAGGGGGTAGTGGTACAGGAAGGAAGTGGCTGAGGGGAATGAAGTGGCTGAGGGGGATGAAGTGGTGTGAGGAATGAGGGAGAATGGCTGTTAGGTGAGGGTGGGGTCGGCTTCCCTGAAGAGATGGGTTTTGAGGGAGCGCCTGAATGTGGGGAGGGAAGGCGCAGTCGGATGGATTGGGGCAGTGAGTTCCAGAGGATAGGGGAGGACCTGGAGAAGTCCTGCAGTCGTGCATGGGAGGAGGAGACCAGGGAGCAGGATACAAGGAGGTCCTGTGAGGAGTGAAGGGTACGGGTAGGGTGGTACTTGGGGATCAGGTTGGTGAGGTAGTCAGGGGCAGTGTTATGAACAGCTTTGTAGGTCAGGATTAGAAGTTTAAATGTGATGCGTTGGCAATCGGGAGCCAGTGGAGGGAGAGGCAGAGGGGGGTGGCAGAGGTGGAGCGGGTGGTGAGGTGGATGAGTCTGGCCGCTGAGTTCAGGATGGTCTGGAGCGGGAGAGAGCATGCACTTGGGTAGGCCAGTGAGAAGAGAGTTGCAGTAGTCAAGGCGTGAGATGATGAGGGAGTGTACAAGAAGTTTGGTGGTGTCTGGGGTGAAGAAGGCACGTATCTTGACAATATTGCGGAGATGGAGCCTGCAGGTGTTTGCAAGTGATTTGACATGAGGGAGGAAGGAGAGGTTCGAGTCAAGAATGACGCCAAGGACTTTGGCTTGCGGGGCGGGAATGATAGTGGTGTTGGTGGTGGTGATGGATAGGATGGGGGGGGGGGGTGTGGGCAGGGGGAAAGACAAGGAGTTCGGTTTTGGAGAGGTTAAGCTTGAGGAAATGGAGCGACATCCAGTCTGAGATGTCGTTTAGGAGGTGAGTGATGCGGGCGGAGATAGTGGGGGTGAGGAGAGGGGTGGAGAGGTAAATTTGGGTGTCGTCAGCATAGAGGTGATAATTGAAGCCATGGGAGTGTATGAGTGTGCCCAGGGAGGAGGTGTAGATGGAGAAGAGAAGGGGTCCAAGGACAGAGCCTTGGGGGACCCCAACAGAGAGGGGGAGGGAGGGGGAGGTGGCACCATTGTAGGTGACGCTGAAGGAGCGTCAGGATAGGTAGGATGAGAACCAGGAGAGAGCGGTATCTCTGATGCCAAGGGAGAGTAGTTTATTAAGGAAGGAGGGGGTGGTCGACTGTGTCGAAGGCCGCAGAGAGGTCCAGGAGAAGGAGGACAGAGTAGTCGCCCTTGGCTTTGGCGTTTAGTAGGTCGTTAGTGATATAACTTTTATATATATATATATATATATATATATATATATATATATATATAATATATATATAATATTATAAAGTTTATATATATTATAAATTATAATATATTATATATATATATATATATATTATATATATATTATAAAGTTATATATATTATAAAAGGATGTAACAAAGGTATAGCGAGCGCTACAAGTAGGTTAGTGTAAGCAGCTAAACACCAAAAAAAGGTAACCAAAAAACCTTACAGTATTCAATAAAGGGAGAAAGATAGGTGCAGCGCTTTGAATCAGAGTGCAAAAAGAATGCTCTAAAGGTATATATGTATATATATATATATATATATATAAATATGGGTACAATAATAAACAGTGCGCTAATCAATAGAAATATTAAAGCACACACACAGTCCACATGCCAAATCAATGGTTGTAGGAAGGGTGAAAAGAATCCTAGGAGCGAATAGAGTGCGCACTCACCAGAAGTGCGTATAAAATACGCATGTAGAGAGGTATACTCTTCAGAATGTCTCTGGCATCCAAGCTCTGGTCAGATCGCACTCCACACCATCCTTTTTTGCACCGCGAAGGGCAGTAACCCGGATTCATCAAATGGTATGGGCGTCAAAGATACTCCTTAGTCCAAAAGAGGCACTGTGGGAGATGGTGCTCTCAGGGAGAGCCCAATAAAGGACGCCACATAGTGTAATGCTGTTTGACTTGAATTTATTTTAGTCAAAGCAAGTAACAAAATATTTACTGACCATAAAATGTTGGCCACATGTAGTGGCTAGATGTCCATGAGCTGTAGCCAAATCTGACGCGTTTCGTGCGATGCACGTTTTCAAAGGGCGCAGGGCTTGAATATACCAGCCCTGCGCCCTTTGAAAACGTGCATTGCACGAAACGCGTCAGTGGGGCTACAGCTCATGGACATCTAGCCACTACATGTGGCCAACATTTTATGGTCAGTAAAATATTTTGTTACTTGCTTTGACTAAAATAAATTCAAGTCAAACAGCATTACACTATGTGGCGTCCTTTATTGGGCTCTCCCTGAGAGCACCATCTCCCACAGTGCCTCTTTTGGACTAAGGAGTATCTTTGACGCCCATACCATTTGATGAATCCGGGTTACTGCCCTTCGCGGTGCAAAAAAGGATGGTGTGGAGTGCGATCTGACCAGAGCTTGGATGCCAGAGACATTCTGAAGAATATACCTCTCTACATGTGTATTTTATACGCACTTCTGGTGAGTGCGCACTCTATTCGCTCCTAGGATTCTTTTCACCCTTCCTACAACCATTGATTTGGGATGTGGACTGTGTGTGTGCTTTAATATTTTATTGATTAGCGCACTGTTTATTATTGTACCCATATTTATATATATATATATATATATATATATATATATATACATATATACCTTTAGAGCATTCTTTTTGCACTCTGATTCAAAGCGCTGCACCTATCTTTCTCCCTTTATTATATATATTATAAAGTTTAGTAGGTCGTTAGTGATAATTATAATTATCAGGTCATTATAGTTATGTTTAACTATTATATTGAATTTCTGTGATTTTTTTTTTTTTTACGCACATTTGGGGATATATTGAACATACACTATATTGCCAAAAGTATTTGAACGCCTGCTTTTAAACGCACATGCATTTTATTGGCATCCCAGTCTTAGTCCGTAGGGTTCAATATTGAGTTGGCCCACCCTTTGCAATTATAACAGCTTCAACTCTTCTGGGAAGGCTGTCCACAAGGTTTAGGAGTGTGTCTATGGGAATGTTTGACCATTCTTCCAGAAGTGCATTTGTGAGGTCAGGCACTGATGTCGGACGAGAAGGCCTGGCTCATAGGCTCCACTCTAGTTCATCCCAAAGGTGTTCTATTGGGTTGAGGTCAGGACTCTGTGCAGGCCAGTCAAGTTCCTCCTCCCCAAACTCGCTCATCCATGTCTTTATGGACCTTGCTTTGTGCACTGGTGCGCAGTCGTGTTGGAACAAGAAGGGGCCATTCCCAAACGTTCCCACAAAGTTGGGAGCATGAAATTCTCCAAAATGTCTTGGTATGGGCCAAACCCAACCCCTGAAGAACAACCCCACACCATAATCCCCCCTCCGTCAGACTTTACACTTGGCACAATGTGGTCAGGTAGGTACCGTTCTCCTGGCAACTGCCAAACCCAGACATGTCCACCGGATTGCCAGACAGAGAAGCGTGATTCATCACTGCAGAGAACACGTCTCCACTGCTCTAGAGTCCAGCGGTGGCGTGCATTACACCACTGCATCCGACGCTTTGCATTACACTTGGTGATGTAAGGCTTGGATGTAGCTGCTTGGCCATGGAAACCCATTCCATGAAGCTGTCTTCGCACAGCTGTGCTAATCATGATGTTTGGAGATCTTTAGCTATTGATTCTGCAGACAGTTGGTGACTTCTGCGCACTGTGCGCTTCAGAATGTGCTGACCCTGCTCTGTCATATTACGTGGCCTACCACTTCATGGCTGAGTTGCTGTTGTTCCCAGTTGCTTCTACTTTGTTACATTACCACTAACAGTTGACCGTGGAATATTTAGTAGCAAGGAAATTTCACAGATGGAATTATTGCACAGGTGGCAACCTGTCACGGTACCATGCTTGAATTCACTGAGCTCCTGAGAGCGACCCATTCGTTCACAAATGTTGGTAGAAGCAGTCTGCATGCCTAGGTGCTTGATTATATACACCTGTGGCCATGGAGTTGATTGAAACACCTGAATCCAATGATTTGGAGGAGCAGTCCAATACTTTTAGCAATATAGTGTAAGTGAAGTGCCTGCACTTTGGTTATTTGATTGGTATATAGGTGTTGTACACACTTAAAGGGGCAGCCACACCTTTATATTATATAGTAATTGTTTGAGCTAGGCTCCCTAGAAGGTTTTTCATTTGTATCAACTTGAAAATAACAGTACTTAAGTTCCTTAGAATAGCTCTCAAATTGCTTAAATGTGTGGGAGAGGTCTGGCACTATGCTTGAAGGAAATCCAGCCATACCAAGTTACCATCTCTGGGACAATAGAACAGACATGCAGGGGGATTCTCCAGGTGACCTATTCAAGCACAACATCACTTTTTTTAATGAAACATCCTTCTGAACTTGCCATTCACAGAGCCCCATCAGCTCTTTGCTAATTTACGCTCTAAGCAGCCTTCTGAAATGACTTGCAAAGCATGCCAAACATCTATTGTCATGGTAAGAATATGCCTATAACCTTAGAAGTTCTTCCTTCACTACCACATGTTGCCATATGGAAAGGGGGAACTCTGACTTACCACCTTTCTCAGACTCATTTTTAACCAATATTAATTCCGCACCTTGCCTTGCAATGGTCCTGAGTAAGAATTGGAGACAACACCCAGTCATATGCTTCTTACTATTTCAATATTTGTTCAATGTGGACTGCTGTACTTATAATCTAAATCTAGTCCTGGTGGGAATAGTTCCTCTAAGCCAGGGGTCCTCAAACTTTTTAAACAGGGGGCCAGTTCACTGTCCCTCAGACCGTTGGAGGGCCGGACTATATTTAAAAAAAAAAAAAAAAATTGCTATTAGTAAAATACCAATATATATATATATATATATATATATATATACACACACACAGCGCTACAAAAACAATATACCAGCAATAACTTTGCCCACACAGAGACATACAGACTGCACTGCGCATCAATGCAGTCTGATCAGTGCCCATCAATGCAGCCTCACCAGTGCCCATCAATGCAGTCTGATCAGTGCCCATCAATACAGCCTCACCAGTGCCCATCAATACAGCCTCACCAGTGCCCATCAATGCAGCCTGATCAGTGCCCATCAATGCAGCCTCACCAGTGCCCAACAATGCAGCTTCACTAGTGCCCATCAATGCAGTCTGATCAGTGCCCATCAATGCAGCCTCACCAGTGCCCATCAATGCAGTCTGATCAGTGTCCATTAATGCAGCCTCACCAATGCCCATCAATGCAGTATGATCAGTGCCCATTAATGCAGCCTCACCTGTGTCCATCAATGCAGTATGATCAGTGTCCATTAATGCAGCCTCACCAGTGCCCATCAATGCAGTCTGATCAGTGCCCAACAATGCAGCCTCACCAGTGCCCATCAATGCAGTCTGATCAGTGCCCATCAATGCAGCCTCACCAGTGCCCATCAATGCAGTCTGATCAGTGTCCATTAATGCAGCCTCACCAATGCCCATCAATGCAGTCTGATCAGTGTCCATTAATGCAGCCTCACCAATGCCCATCACCATTAATGCCCATGCCCATCAATGCAGTCTGATCAGTGTCCATTAATGCAGCCTCACCAATGCCCATCAATGCAGTCTGACCAGTGTCCATTAATGCAGCCTCACCAGTGTCCATCAATTCAATGCAGTCTGATCAGTGTCCTTCTCCTCGGCTGTCTGTCACTGCCCAGTGCGGGAGAACTGCAGGCAGCCCCTCCAGAGATCACAGACTCCACCCCTCTATCATTTACTCGCCGCGCCAGCCGGATCTACATCCCCAACACACAGTACTATCACTGGGGGTGGAGCCGAGGCGGAGCCGAGGGGCAGGTGAGGGAGCTGAGGGAGGGAGAGGCAGAGCCAGTCAGAACGGTGCTGGTGGAATGAAAGTGAAAGTACGCAGGGGGATCCCAAATAGTTCAAAACACCCGGCGGGCCGGATAAATGTCCTCGGCGGGCCGCATGCAGCCCGCGGGCCGTATTTTGAGGACCCCTGCTCTAAGCCATGAGTGTCAATTTGGCGGCCCTCCAGCTGTTGCCAAAGGGCCATGTCCCATGAGGCATTGCAAGATTGACAGTTACAAGCATGATTTCCAAAGGCAGAGGCATGAAGGAACTTGTAGTTTTGCAACAGCCGCCAGTTTGACACCCCTGCTCTAAGAGTTTCATTTACATCTAAGCTCGATAGACTACATGTCTTTCTACCAAACTTGATTGTTTTGTAATTCTTTAGTTTTAATACTGACCATTAATAACAGGAATGTGTAACGTAAATCACAACAAAAACATGAAAATATACATGGTAAAAACATATATCACTTCATATATTGCAACAGGTCAAGACTACATTTTAAAATCATCTGAGGAAATTAAATCAAAGATCTCAGTACCTGGATGGAACCTGAAATTGACCTTTCGGAATATTGTCATCATCCAGTAGATAGCGGGATCTCTCTGATAGACAGCTCCCAATTCGCTGGTAAGTCTAAAGTTATACAAGCTAATAAGGTTAATGTAGAAAAATAAGATTAACAAATCTTTTGCTTTAAAATAAGTGTTTCTTAATGTACATTCATTGAACTTTACATTGGAGTGGTTTGTTTTTGTTTTGAGTTAAAATCGGCTGAGATCTGTGTAGAAGGGGGAGGGCTATCTGTAATCTCGTGAGATAGCGTGAGATTACAGTGCAGCTGAGTTTAAAAAGTGAAACCCAAGTTAAGAAGAACACAATTACATGAAAATAATAAGCATTATGCACTGTGTGTAGACACATACTGTAGACAACTACAGTCAGGTCCATAAATATTGGGACATCGACACAATTCTAATATTTATGGCTCTATACACCACCACAATGGATTTGAAATGAAACAAACAAGATGTGCTTTAACTGCAGACTGTCAGCTTTAATTTGAGGGTATTTACATCCAAATCAGGTGAACGGTGTAGGAATTACGACAGTTTGCATATGTGCCTCCCACTTGTTAAGGGACCAAAAGTAATGGGACAATTGGCTTCTCAGCTGTTCCATGGCCAGGTGTGTGTTATTCCCTCATTATCCCAATTACAATGAGCAGATAAAAGGTCCAGAGTTCATTTCAAGTGTGCTATTTGCATTTGGAATCTGTTGCTGTCAACTCTCAAGATGAGATCCAAAGAGCTGTCACTATAGGTGAAGCAAGCCATCATTAGGCTGAAAAAACAAAACAAAAACCCATCAGAGAGATAGCAAAAACATTAGGCGTGGCCAAAACAACTGTTTGGAACATTCTTAAAAAGAAGGAACGCACCGCTGAGCTCAGCAACACCAAAAGACCCGGAAGACCACGGAAAACAACTGTGGTGGATGACCGAAGAATTCTTTCCCTGGTGAAGAAAACACCCTTCAGAACAGTTGGCCAGATCAAGAACACTCTCCAGGAGGTAGGTGTATGTGTGTCAAAGTCAACAATCAAGAGAAGACTTCACCAGAGTGAATACAGAGGGTTCACCACAAGATGTAAACCATTGGTGAGCCTCAAAAACAGGAAGGCCAGATTAGAGTTTGCCAAACAACATCTAAAAAAGCCTTCACAGTTCTGGAACAACATCCTATGGACAGATGAGACCAAGATCAACTTGTACCAGAGTGATGGGAAGAGAAGAGTATGGAGAAGGAAAGGAACTGCTCATGATCCTAAGCATACCACCTCATCAGTGAAGCATGGTGGTGGTAGTGTCATAGCGTGGGCATGTATGGCTGCCAATGGAACTGGTTCTCTTGTATTTATTGATGATGTGACTGCTGACAAAAGCAGCAAGTGTTTCAGGCAATAATATCTGCTCATATTCAGCAAAATGCTTCAGAACTCATTGGACGCCGCTTCAGAGTGTAGATGGACAATGACCCAAAGCATACTGCAAAAGCAAACAAAGCGTTTTTTTTTTAAGGGAAAGAAGTGGAATTTTATGCAATGGCCAAGTCAATCACCTGACCTGAATCCGATTGAGCATGCATTTCACTTGCTGAAGACAAAACGGAAGGGAAAATGCCCCAAGAACAAGCAGGAACTGAAGACAGTTGCAGTAGAGGCCTGGCAGAGCATCACCAGGGTATATATAGTGACATGGGGGATGTTTAGCTCCGTGGTAGGATGCATTTTCAAGTGAGTACAACACACCAGTCAGGAACTATATTTCAGGGCTTGGTAGCCCACTTTTATTAAAATGCAAGGCAAACAAAAACAAAAGTCCAACATAAGGTTTCCTATGCAGGGGGTTCTTCTCCAGTAAAAACACACAGTCCAAATTAAAATACTAGCCCACCTGGCTACTATTCAGCAGCACTGCTGCTATAGATACTGGTCCTTCTTTGGGAAGGTGAAACTAGCTGTGTATGTAGTTATCTTAAAATAACACTGACCAGTCTGCTAAGCAAACATATATATACACACACAGATCCTTGCGTCGTAGATCTGCTATCTTGCAAACACTAACATTAAATTGCATGTGTAATCCATAGACACAATACAATTTCATATAGATTAGCAAGAAATTTATACCGTGCATACAGACACTGGTAACATCTCCTCCTGAAGTGACTATAGGTTATATGGACCAGCCGGCAGGATTGGGATCTCCAACACAATAGCCAGATTCCAACAAGTCCAAACACTGTATGGTTGCCATAAACAGGCCCCATATAAACCTTTTTGATGGTCTTGAGGTGGTCATGGGTGTATCGCCCTCCTAGTTAAGGTATAGGATGCTAGGTAAATTTAGGTAAGCTCCTTTGTAGCCAGTGGAGCAGCTGTTGATTACCTTAGTCTGCTCAGTGTTTCACAGGTTGCTGTTCTGATTATTCCCCCTGCATTCTAGAACGACAGTGGGAGGAAAGACAGAAGAGCAGTCTGAAGATTATGAGGTCTCAGCCAATCCCTGGGAAGGTGTGTCCAGTAGGTAGCTGGAGAGCTCTTAAATAGTCTGAGGCCAGGGGCAGAGGTGTGAGATTCCT